CTGTCACGGCAATATTTTTGGCAAGATTAGGATTATAATGAAGAGAAAGGCAGAGAGAACAGGAATGGTGAATTTACTCTTAAGCTGTTCAGTTTTGGTTAGCCATAATAACAGAAACACTATGTGCCAGGCACTGTTCTAAGTATGTTACATATATCAGATGATATACTTTAAAACAAAACAAAACAAAACAAAAACTACTCTACAGTGTAGATATTATTAACCCCCTTTTAAAGAGAAGTAGAACATAACTCAAACCTAGGTGATCTGGTCTTGGAGTCTTGTGCCAAGCCTACGCTATATAGTTGACAAACAACACAGGTTTGAAATGCATGGGTTCACTTGTATGTGGATTTTTTCGATAAATGTAGTACTGTAAATGCATTTTCTCTTTCTTATGATTTTCTTAATTTTTCTTTTCTCTACTTTATTATAAGATTACAGTACATAATACATATAACATACAAAATATGTGTTAATTAACTGTTTATGTTATCAGTAAGTCTTCTGGTCAACAGTAGGCAGTTCGTAGTTAAGTTTCTGGGAAGTCCAAATTTATTTGTGGATTTTCAACTGTGCAAGGGGTTGGCACCCCAACCCCCACATTGTTCAAGGGTCAACTGCACTATCTTTCCATGCTAAGAGCTAAGAAAACTCTGTGCTTCTTGGACTTCACATTTTTAAAAAATCAGCTTGAGATATAATTTATATACAATAAAATTCACCAATTTTAAGTGTGCAAATGATCATTTTTGACAAATGTATACAGTTAGGTAACCACTAACACAAAGTAAATAGATTCCATTTCTATTACTCCAAACCCTTGTGGCCTTGGGGCATTGTATTAAAGATTTGCGTGCTACATATCTGCTTCTTGAAATTCTACCTGGGAGTGAGCAAAATAGTGTCTGGACAAAAATGTGCTTTTTTCTTATTCTCATAGGTGGGGATGGGGCAAAACTTATGCTGGATGAAGGTTCCTTGACACTTTCACTTCACCACTGTGAGATTTAGTGAACTCATTCATGTATTGGAGAAACAAATCTCTGTGGTTATTACTGTTCACTGATTTAAATTTCCAACATATAAAAAGCATGACATGGGTGTTCCCACTTGTATTAGTGCTCAGATATGCTGTGACTTTGAAGTTAAGTAGATCTGGCTCTGAATATTGCCACTAATGGTAGAAGCCTGAAAAGAACATCTTAGTTTCTAGGTTCTTACCTCTATAAAGTGGGAATAAAAGTTACTTCCTTTAAAGTGCTTAATGTAATGCTTGGCACATATTAGACCCTCAAAAAATTACAGCTCCAACAGAATATAATATGTTTATTATAACATATTGCACAACAGGTAAAATAAATGAGCCAGTCTACATTTAGAAACAAAGAAAAATCTAGATAATGTAATGGGAGAAAACTCAAGTTGCAGAAAAATGCCTATAACATGATATCATGTAAATGTTAAACACAATATTGCATGTTTTATATATATCTTAATATATTTTATAAAAATGCACACACATACATATATATAGTGAGAGTATAAAAATATGGATGAAAAGGACAACTTCAAAGGAGTGGTTCACCCCTGGGAGAGAAGTAAATAGAGTCAATAAGGGAGTAAAAGAGAGGGCCTTAATTCTTTCAGGCTTTATTTCTTAATAAGAAAAACAGGTATGAGGTAAATATGGCTTCTAACATTCACTGTATCCTAGAAAGTAGATACAACATTTGTTACATCATTGGTGTTATTTACAGTTTCCTTTGTACTGTTTGTTCAAAACATTTCCTAATCAAAAAAAATTATTTTTTAAATGAGGGAAGGGAGAAAAATCCTCCATAATGTGGGTAGTCCTCATCCAATCAGCTGAAGGCCTTAAAAGAACAAAGACTGACCTTCCCTGAGCAAGAAGGGATTCTGCCAGTGTTCAGCCTTTGGACTCGAGCTGCCAGTCTTCCCTGAGTCTCCAGCCTGCTAGTCTGCCCAGCAGATTTGGGGCCCATCAAGCCTCCAGTCATGTGAGCCAGCTCCTTAAGACGTTGGCCATGGAAGGATCTTTAGAAGAACTGCAAAGGCCCTAGGAAAGGGGTGAGTGTGGTGTGTCAGGGACAGAAGGGCAACGTGTGGTGGAAAGCAGTGATCAAGGCAGGGTTCTGTGAGAAATGTTGTTTGAGATGGAGCTGGAGCAATAATCAGATCAAGCTGGACCAAAAAGTCCAGTGAGAGTTGAGACCCCATGGCCTCTGTGTGAAAAGCTTGCTGAGAGAGGAGCAGAAGTGGGGAGACTGGTTTTCTAGATGTGCTTGAGATCATCAAAAGATGCTCACAAAGTAGAGTTCAGTACTGCATTTCTGGATCTCTCTTGCGCTTGGGATTTCCAAGCTCTTACACCTAGGAGATCAGAGGCAATACCCTACTTTACTGCCCATTGAACTGGCACCCATGGCCAGATATTTGCCTCATCATGACCCCAAGTGGGAAGGGAAACCTGAGACAAAGATGTGGGATCTCTGCTCTTCTTTGCCATCCCACTGAATGTTAGTGCTTCCTGGGGTCTTGTCCTGGGTCTTCTCTTAACCATCTCAGTGCACTCCTGGAAAATGTCATCCTCTCCCATGCTTTTCATTGTGTGCTGATGACTCTAATCCATTCTCTCTAGCACTGATCTGTTAATCCAATTACCAAATGGATATTTTCACATGACTGCCCCAAAGACATTTCAAACTCATCATAACCAAAATAAATTCATTGTCTCCCTTCTTTTTTAATCTTTTTTTAATCTCCAGATCCTCCTGTATTCTTTCTCCCAGCTGATAGCATGCCACCTTCCACCCGGCTCCACAAGCCAGAGATCCAGTGGTCTTCACTTCCCTTGTCCTCTCCTACCCACTTCCATACTGTCTAAAGCTAATGAAAAGGGTGAAAGTGTGAACTCCTGTGGGGAAAAATTAGCTGACCAAAACAGTAATATAAGAAAGGCAACTTATGGAGTGTATAACAGAAGGAAGATGGCAAACCAGTACAGAAGAGCTACCATCCCATTATTTCAAACAGGGCTCGTGATCAATAAACAATTATATTTCAAAAATATAAGATATGATCCTTCTTCTCTTTATCATAGAAACGTGAAATTTTGTCTTCTTAAAACAGAAAAAAATGACTTACATTGAGTACATGGCTGTGTATTACTTCATTATATTGTATCATTTATTTTGCTTATGACTATGATAAATATTTATATAAGTGAAAATAAATGAATAACAATAGCAACTAATAAATTATTATATGTAAAACTCAAGAACTTATTTTTTTAACCAAGGCTCCAGCTGGATTTTAAGTCCAACTTTATCTTCCTAGCTTTTAGCAACTGTTTCAAATGGAATTGCCTGGTACTTTAGTACCAGGATTTTTAAATATTAACCAACACTTTCAATTTCTTATTTCCTGTTATTAAAATGAACTACCACCCTTGTAATCAGGGATGACAATATCTTCTGCCCAATGACACAGAAACTATAAAGTACTGATTTTGTCAGTGCTTATCTTAAAAAGGAAAAAGAAAAAAAGGCAACATGAAACATTCATCTTTTGACACTGATGTCACTCCTGCAGTGTCTTCTGAACAGAATGGAAAGGAAGTAGGCTTATGACCTAGTCCTAAGAGGATAGAGGAGCTCCTCAGGGAATGGACAATTACTAAAGCCTGAATCACCAAAGAACACGTATTTTCAAGGAAAGCTAGACAGTTCTATAATGATCTGACTGTGAAAGCAGCCCTTTAGCAGAGGGCCTACTACAAATAATTTTTTTCTTTTCAGAAGTTTGCCATGTTATTTGTTTGGGACCGTATTTTTGTGGAAATATTTGTGTGTGACATGATACTAATTAAAAGAGAGAAGCCTTCGGGGTGCGTGGGTGGCTCAGTTGGTTAAGCATCTGCCTTGGGCTCCAGTCATGATCCCAGGGTCCTGGGATTGAGCCCTGCATCAAGCCTTGAATTGGGCTCCCTGCTCAGCAGGGAGTCCGCTTCTCCCTCTGCACCGCCCCCCATGCTCGCTCGCTCTCTCATATAAATAATTAAAATCTCTTAAAAAATTTAAAAAAATAAAAGAGAGAAGCCTTCAACATGATTCAAACCAAGATACTCTTTAGGACAAGTGTGCTCTGTGAAAGAAACTTATTTTTGTTTTAAAGCACTTTTGTTATACATAGAGCCAATTAATCCAATTCAACCACAGACCCTAAGGAAGCCAGTTGAGGCAAGAAACCACTTCTTTTCCTGAAGTCCAAGAAACTGAGAGGACAGTGAAATGTGTGCTGGCTAGACAGAGGGCTTGAATTAATCAAGTTTCTAGGGTCAAATTAGGAAATGGTTTATTAGGTAATATCTGCTCAGGTTCTAACAAACTCACCTGACAGCTTCAACTGCTTAATGGAAACACAGATCAAAGTAACAGAATTTTCAGGTTAAAGATCATAAAATTCAACACCTTCACTTAATAGGTGAGGAAAATGAGGCTCAGATAACTCGTTACAGAGAAAGACAATTTGCTCAGTCACTCAACTGCTAATGGAGAGCTGACCTTTTGACGGCTAAACCAGTGCCCTGCCCACCACACCCAAGGGCGTATCTGACTCTCCCAGCTGTGAAGGGTGGATTAAAGGCATTGCCATTTGCAGGAGATCACAATCAAGTGCCCTAGTGTAGGTGAACAGGAGGCACCGCTTTCCCCACCCACCCAGTGGTGTTTCATTTGTTAACCGACAGTACATGCTGAGACCACAACTGCTCACTGTTTTCTAAATCTGTCAATGAGCTTGCAACTCACTAAGAAACCTTGGAAAAACTGCTTTGTGAAAATAATTTCAAAGACTCTTCTTGGGCAGCACAAATAAAAGGAAGCCTTTATTCTTTCTGCCCTCCTGGTGGATTAACAGATGAACACAGCTTCATCTGTCATCAGATGAGGTTCTGTCGAGGGCACCTGTGTACTCACCATGGAACCAGGGAGCTATGGTGTCTGAGGTTCTCTGGTAGCCTGCTCGCAGTGGTAGCTGCTCCTCTTTAAACCACCGAATGATGTCCTCCTGGGCAGAGTTGGATGCTGTCCTGGTTACTCCCTGGTTTCTGTGATTTAGAAAACAGTTCCACTTAGATTTAACTAACTTGAAAACAATGCTGTCAAAAATCATATATATCCTGTATATAAAAATCATGTATAAAGGGAGACAGGATTATATATATTTGAAGATCTAATTACATGGGTTGAGCTAATGGGAGGTTGGACCCCTAATTACTGCCATTATACAACTCACTCCTCAAGGGCTAGTCAACAAAATAGGAAGAAACATAAATCTGTCACTTGTCTTTCCAGTCCTATAGGGCCAGTCATGGGTATGAGCTACTGCTGTGTTAATCTATTAATAATAATAGATTTTAATTCATTTTTATATGAATAAAAGCTCCATTAACTTCCAATTAAAATTTGAGAAAATAAACATTAAAAAGTGAAATACACCCCCAGCACTATTTTCCTTGGGAGCATGTTCTTGCAAACAAAAGAAATGCAATAAGATAAATTTCTTTCCTAACATTTTCAGTATTAAACTTTCTCTTCTTTCTGTTTCCAACCTCCCTGACTTGCTTTCTTCTCTCCCACACTTTGAAGAGGTTTGGTTCTGCTAAAGACAGTCTCAGAAAAATAAAGTCAAAGAAAGAAGAGTGTTTGAAAATTGGTAAGAAAAAGATACAAGCGGCGGAATCATTTTGAAATATATTCAGTTGCAGAACTAAAGTTCTGGGATGTAAGTCAATTTCCATTACAAAAAGTAACACTGCAATGTCATAAACATATTTCCAAGTCTCATACAACAGCCCACGAATTTTGAGAATTCAGGGTAAAAACAATGACGAGTTTGGATGAACGACCTGGATGCCTGTCATGTAAATTAACTTATGGCTCTTTCTGCATTTTATGGTAACACATGGCCCCGCGAGTTGCATGTGACATATATGTCAGATGTACTATACGGGTGTACATATTCATATACATACATACATAGCATTTTGGAGAAGATAGTCTATAATATTTGACTTTTTTGGGAATCAGATCCTGCACACACATGAGATTACATGAGTGCTCTTACTAGCTTTCAAATTAGGTTCTTTTTCTTTGGGAAATCTTTGGAGGTTAAAGAAAAACTCTAAGGACAGCCATCTCTGTCTTTTCTTGGGCTGGCTCCTAGCTGACCTTGGTCACACACTGTTGTCCCAGCCCCAAAACCATCCAGTCTGGCTGCCTCACAAGAAGCATTTCATGCAAGTGTATTAAGTTGGAAAAACTGAGCTCAATTAGCACAGCTCGAAACAAGAATTGCCCTAATTAAAGGCCACCTTCACTGCTGTCAATCAGGTACATTGTGCACTAAAAATAGTGTGGGCCAGGGCATATTACAAGTCATAGTCACACCCTTGGAAGAGCCTGGAGAACAGGGGCAGGTACACAAACAGCCCTGCTGGGGATCTGGGGCCAATGCACAGACCAGCTCGGGCACTGAAGAGGACTCCGGGCAGGAGCTCACACCGTTGTGACCTGGTCACAACACTGTGAGGATACCTGTTTCTGATTACTTTTCTTAGGTTTTTGTCCCTAAGAAAAAAACCATTCCCCAAACTGTCCCTTTGTAGAACATGATCTTTTAGTTCTGGTGTCCACATCCCAAAATGGAACCTTTCAGTTAAGTAGAAATAATTATAGTAAAAGGAAAAGGTCCACCTTCCTGTTTCCACTGAGGTCATAACCCCCATTAGGAAAAGCCTTGAAGATCACTACTGACTCCAAGCAAAGAGAGATTTGTTTGCTTTTTATTTCTCCATACTTGTAACAGAGAAATATTTTGGTTTTCATTTCAGAAGGCAAGGCTTTAGATAGTTCTGTTTCATTCAATCACTATTTGATTCTTCTTGTATATTTTAAATAATGTCTTTCTATATATTAGAATATGAAAAAATCATAATATCCAGGAGAAAATAATTTTATAATCAGTTAACTAACATAAGGGAAAGGGGGTTTCTGCTATGATATCATTGTATTTTTCTTCAGGGATTCTACAAAACAAACTGTTCTACCTAATTACCTATAGCCTAGGAAGCAAAGGCACCATCATGACCAAAAGAGTATTCATTCAAAGAAGGAACAGTTTCAAATTCTCAACATATGAACTTGGCTCTGTAACCCAGAATGAGGATTACCATCAAATCTTTAATCCTGAGCAATGAAAATATAACTCTATGATGCCATGAAAGTCAGCATGCCCTTGGGTTCCTACTTTCATATTGCTTCCTACTAAGAGCAATACTGAGCCCTGATGAAACCCCCATTGTTTCTGCTTCTCCCCTCACTGGCTCGCCTACTGCCACTAGGTGTGGGTGGGGGTGCGCTGGTGGCGCAGGAAGGCACTGAACTCGATGTGCATCCTAAGTTATTGGGCATCTTAATTATAACAAACTATGGGTATTTTATAGATGAGAAGAGGATGAATTCAGACCAGGTATCTTGGGAAGACAGGCTTAGAGGTGAGGCTGAATTTAATTACACAGGCAGCCAGCTGGTCTTCCACTCCCCATGGCCCATAATGCAATTTGTCTTTAATCAGCCAGTTTCAACTGCTGTACTTAAAGCCATCTGTGTGGCTTCTTACCTAAGAGGCTTTCGAGGGTATCCCACCAGGTTTAGGAAATGAGGCTTGGGTGGAAGGGGGGGTCTTTTTGGTTTCTGTGGAACACCTGGGGGGCTTTGTGGTCCCTCACCGCTTCTTCCTTTTTCAGCCGCTAGGGATAACCTCTTGTAGTCTTCCCGCGCTTGTTTAGCCAAAGAGCGTCTCTTCTCATCAGCTGCTTTGGATTTTCGCACTAGAAAAACAAGGGGGTTTGAGAAAGGCCCTGGTCAGCCCACAGAGATGGTGAGAAGAATCAGCTGGTGAAGAGAGCAGTCTCTCAGGAGATTCTGTCATCTGCTGATAATAACAAACAATCACTATCAACACCTAGGACTCACATAATTCGGGCCTGCACATTCACAATTGCCCAGCATTCCCTGCAGAATTCCTGTCTTTCTAAGGGGGGTTTAGGACTTCTTAAGGGGGAGAAGAAGGAGGAGGAGGAAGGGAGGAGACAGAAATGGAGAACCACATATTTGAGAATTCCCGGCATTTGGGTAAGACTAAGTGATCAGTCACAGCCTGAGTGCGAATTCCAACTTGCTGGGAGCCTTTGAATAGGAAGAGGTGATATCACATCCCTCAGCTCAGCTCAGGACATCACTAGTAAAGCTCAGGCTGTCAGGAACTCCTCAGCGCAGTGGCTCATGGCTGTGCACAGGGTGAGAGATCGGCGAGGCTCGCCACAGTCACACTCAGAGCCCCCAAAGAGCTGAACCAAATATGAACTGGCCTACCAGATCAAAAAAATAAAATGATTCTCACCACAATCAGGGAATGTGCTGGTACACATAAAAAGCACCCCAAGGCCACCTTTTAATGTTGCTTTGTAAAATAGAGGGTTTATCATTTTGTTTTGTTTTTGTTTTAGCAACACAGTAGTAAAGGGCTCTAATGCAGGATGCTAAAACTAATTTTCATTGAGTGTGTTTGCACTTCAGGTGCTCTTGGTCAAGCCCTGTTATGTTTGACTTCAAAGAGATGCCAAAAATATTCCATTACACTAGAATTTCACTGCATGGAAGTGACTGGATCTTGCAAATATATTCATTTCACAGAACTGTCATGTTAATGGCGTTCATTGTAATGGAACTGAAGACAGGATTCTCCACATCCTGCAAACATTGTCACTCCCATTCTCCTGTTCTCTCCCTCAAGTGGCCTCAAGGGATGACCTGGCTGGTAAACCTCTGAGTCAGCTGGAAACCCTCACCGTGTCTCAAACCTGCATTCTTCCCTAGCATCCCTGAGCATGCTCTGCTCTGCCTTAGCCTGCCCTGACCTCTTCCCGAGGGGTTTTATCTCTGGCAGTGCTAACTCAAAAAGGAGTCAGGGTTAGGTCATAGGTATGGGAGGGATGCTGATATATCCAACCGGTTATTCCTGGGTTCTTCTATTACAAAGTTAAGGTGAGTTCACTGTTGAAAATTTAGAAAAGTATAGAATAACAAGAATTCAAATAAATCTCAAATCCCATCCCTCCAAAAAAAATTAACATGTTAATAACCTTCCAGTTCTTTTACTATCCTAAAAGAGGGATATTTTTCATACTATTTTATAGTATTTTTTTTCTTCACGTGAAAAAAAGATACAAACATATCCCAAGGCCATTAAACCCTCTTCCAAAACATGTTTTTTCAGAGCTATATACCATTCCATCAAATAGCTATATCACAACTGTGATGGTACAAAGATGAATGGAGAACCTTTCTACTATTCAAGAAGTGACTCGTAAGCCTTTGTGTAACAACTTAGCAATAATTCTCTCAACAACCATTTTAAGTGCTTCTTAGATCGATCATTTGTTAAGAGAAGGAATTGGGGGGCGCCTGGGTGGCTCAGTCGTTAAGTGGCTGCCTTCGGCTCAGGTCATGGTCCCAGGGTCTTGGGATTGAGCCCCACATCGGGCTCCCTGCTCGGCGGGAAACCTGCTTCTCCCTCTCCCACTCCCCCTGCTTGTGTTCCCTCTCTCGCTGTGTCTCTCTCTGTCAAATAAATAAAATCTTAAAAAAAAAAAAGAGAGAAAGGAAATGGCCTGGAGGGTCTAAGGTGTTATGGAGGCCTCTGGGTACTCACGAGATGCCTGCCACTCTGAATCTTCTTTCCAGCTTTTATAAATCTGCTTGGTTTTCTCCTCATCTATTTGTTTTAGTTCTTCATCTTGTGTTTTCTTCACAGATTCTTTCTTCTGTTTAAAAACAAAACAAAACAAAAACAAAAACAAGAACAAAAACAGAAACAAACACTAGTGAGTAACTCTGGCAGTTTTCTGAGAGGAGGCGGAGGAGGAGGTAGGACGTCAGGGACACCGGGGGTTGGTTTCGGTGTAACTCCCTCTGGCCCCCTGGCTAGGTGATTTGTTGTTACAGGAAAAGCTTGGGGTCGGTGATACCTGAAGCTGACTCTATCAGGACCTGGTTGTGCAACCACATGACCCATTACCAAACCTCTCTTAGGCTGTCTTCTTCGCCTAAATAGAATTAGAAAATTAAAAATATTTCATAGGGTTATAGTGAGGGTTCAATAATATTTAAAAAGTGTCTCCCATAGTCTGTAACACATAGTGAGACTCAATAAATATTCATTTTCCTCAAACATAGCACTTATCTGTTTTAAATTGAATTCCCTCAAGTAGTGTGTAAACACCGCTTCATGGCACCAGTGTAAACACTGCAGTATCTGACGGCTCCATAAAAATAACAGTACATTTCTAGAGCAGTCTCTAGACTGCTGTATCTCCACGTGCCCTCAAACCAGTGTGTCTAAAATGTGGTACTAGGGGGGCCTGGGTGGCTCAGTCGTTAAGCATCTGCCTTTGGCTCAGGTCATGATCTCAGGGTCCTGGGATCGAGCCCCCCCAATGGGCTCCCTGCTCCCTTCTCTCTCTCCCTTTGCCCCTCCCCCATTCCCACTCTCTCTCTCTCAAATAAAATTAGAAAAAAAATTATTTAAAAATGTGGAACTTACACATGATTTTAGGTGACCCAAAAAGGAATATTTTTTGTTTAAAAGAATTTTTTTTACAAAGCATCCTCTTCAAGAAATATAAAATAAGAAACATGAGTCTTCCTTAAAAAGGGAATTTGTTTTTAAAATTGTAAAATATACATAACATAAAAATTACCATTTTAACCTTTTTAAAAATTGTGGAAGAATACACATAACATAAAAACCGTGTTAGCCATTTTGAAGTGAACAGCTCTGTGGCATTAAGTACACTTGAAGGGAATTAGTTTTTAACTAAAGAAAAACTAACACACCAAATCACTTAGGCCTAAAAAGTACTTTTTTGGGTATTGCCTTCTGAGTGCTTATTAGAAAGCTGAATTTAGCACTTGGTGAACTAAATAAAAGCCTCGGTCACCTAAATAATGAAGCAAGTTGAGAGGGTCAGAAAAGACTGACCATGCTTCACTCTGCATCTCAGAATTGACAGGTCTTTTTTTTTCTTTTGTGTTTTCCTATAGAAAGATAAAGACTGGGGCTCCTGGGTGCCTGGGTGGCTCGGTTGGTTAGGCGACTGCCTTCGGCTCGGGTCATGATCCTGGAGTCCCGGGTTCGAGTCCCACGTCGGGCTCCCTGCTCGGCGGGGAGTCTGCTTCTCCCTCTGACCCTCTTCCCTCTCGTGCTCTCTATCTCTCATTCTCTCTCTCTAAT